GAGGTCTTTTTCCACGTACTTGCATTCAAGTTCTTCATAAAAAGATGAGGTGAAAAGTTAACTATAATGTTGCAGTTTAGGAAGGCAGTGGTAATAATAGAGCCCCATTTTTCCTATATATTTTCCAATGTGGATTTTTAAAAAGACTTTGTTATTACACATGGATCAGATCAAACCAGCTTCAAAGAGAATCATAACATTATCAACTTTGATATGAAGCAGAGATGTACATGAAAATTATATATGAAGAAGACTTTGTGCTACATTCTTGAAGTGTTGTAAATGACAATCGAATTTTAATATACGAAAAATTGTAAAACTATTGATTTGAAATAGCTGGTTGTGTATATAGATAAGAAAAAGTTTATTGTAAATTATGCAAATGTGTTTATATCAATGAAATCATAAAGCCAAGGCACTCGAAAAGTAAGCAAAAAAAAAAAAGAAAAAGATAAATAATTTTTTTCACATATTTTTTCGAGTGTCTTGGAATTACGAATGTGTTGTTTATCTTTATGAATCCCTTATCTAAAGAGCACGATAGTTTAATTATCCCTGAAGCCCTTTTTTTGGATTTTGTATTTGTATTTATATCAATACAGTAGTCCCTCATTATTCACGGGAGTTGCGTTCTAATAACCTGAAATAGGTAAAAATCCGTGAAGTAGTCCACTTTATTTACAGTTATTATAAATTTTTCTTAAGGCTGTAAAACCCCTCACTACACACTTTATACCTTTTTTCAGACAGACGTTAACATTTTCACTATTTTCTCTCTTGTTTAAAGAGCCCCTATTATTGGTTTTTAAAAAGGACCTTCCATGTAGTGTGTAACAGTTCTAAGTAAAATGAAATATCTAGCTATGGCTTCAATCTGAAAGTGCACAGTGTTTAAAACTACTGATTCATTTATAAAAGAGTCGACTCATGGTGCTTCAAATGAATTGTCTTGATAACGAGTCTTCAGCCGTTTTGGTGTGTCATTGATACGAAACTGAAGCCCTGCCCAATTGTTGTGCACGCAAACCCGGTAAAACTTAACAGTGGATCAGTTTCTTCTTCCATTTCACATCTGTAAATAAGTACGATTAAAATGGTTGCCTACTTGTTTTCTCTAGCTTCTAAATTTTGTATTTGTATTGTGTTTTGCTACTTGCAACCGCTTGAACTGTATCATGTTAACTCTTTATATTCTTATATCGCATCTAAAGCCACATTAAAAACGTGACGCATGCCACTGTTCACGGATTTAAATGCATTTGTGAGCTCGCGTTCCACTGCCGTTTGTCATTGCTATGTCCACCCCGTCAGCTGTCCCTACACACGTGCAGCGGTCAAGGTTCAAAGTAGTCCAGCTTTTGCCGCTGTATGGATTAATTCTAAATGTGTGTCATGGTTAAGAGTAGAGCAATATGCTGGTGTTTAACTAAAAAAGAAACAGTGTGCTAATTACGACGCAGAACACGATGCGCTGTAAAAAAAAAAGCATGTCAAATTGCACGAAAAAAAGTCTGAGAAACTGCAAGGCCTTGAAAAGTGTGACTCGTTATAGCCAGGGACCACTGTTTTTATGTATATAATTTTGTTTTTTTTCAGTGATGCCTGGAAGAGGGCGGGGCTAAATATATGTTTAATCAATCTTACTGTTTACTTACTGATTAGCTTGGTAGCTAGTTAAGACTGCTACTCTAATATGCTGCTTTGACTTAGCTAGTCTTCCAGTTTAAAAGTGGCTAAAACCTTTGTATAGCATCCAAAAACACAATCCACGCTAGCATAGAGGCTAGCTAAGACCTGCTAGCAACTTTTGGGTTAAAATATGCTTAAGTTAGCATGATTAGTTAGTAATGTTTGATGGTGTAAGCGAAATTTAAGACTAGTCGTCAGCTGAAAATCAGATATTTAGCATTACATGTTTATTATATGCTACAACGATCAGCTGTATGTGTTTGGCCTGCTTTAATTAGTAGTAATATTAAATATTTTATAGAAAGTGTATGATTAGAGTGGTGAAAAGTGGCATAATGGCACTCAACAAAAGTTTGGGGAAACAAAAAAAGCAGACAAAATTTGTCAGTTGCTACTTTCTGAGTAGTTTGATGGCTAAGCTAAGACCAAAAGTGATTTAGCCAGATTAGCTTGCTAATTATAAAACATAGTTTTTATGCACTAATTCTGCTATTACTTTGTTTTAAATGAAAAATAAATAAATAAATCAATAAAAGATAAGGTTTATTGGTTATTGTTTATAATAAGGCAAAGGACTACAATCAGCATTGACAATAACATTTAAAATCATGGAAATTCATTCATTCATTTTCCTTCAGCTTAGTCTTTATTTCAGAGGTTGCCACAGTGAAATGAACCGCCAACTATTCCAGCATATGTTTTTAAGGCAGCGGATGCCCTTACAGCCAAAACTCAGTATTGTAAAAATGATGGAAATATATAACTATTCATCTGAATTTGCTGGTTGTATATAGAAAATATGGAATAAAATTTTAAATTAGTGCTCTATTGAAGTGGGTGAAGCTTAAAAAACTATTTCAGCATGCTTAAATTTTTGGTTTTTGGTTACTCATTGATTGGTGGAATTTTCTGCATAGGATTATGGGTAATGTAGTTGATATGCACTCATTTTGCTATTAAACAGTGATTGTTTTAAATAACGGTTTGAATTAATCGTTTAGCAGTGGACTGTCTTTAGAGGGTTAACTGGTTATTTTTAAACATCTGTTTCCCTAAGAAGAAATGTAAATGACATTAAGTCATGATTTTTATTACAGTTTATTTAAGCTAGGGTGTTCAGACGTCCTGATTTTCCACAGACAGTCTCATATTTCAGTTCTATTTTTAGTTTCCCGACTTGCAGCTTTGAAAACAATTGAGAGAATCCACTCAGATCATTATAGTTTCGGAGAGGTATTGATATCAGTATACCATTTGCCTTTAATAGGTATATGTTTTCAAAAAAATGTTCATTTTTGAAAGCATGACAGAGCTTTGCAAAGACTAATATATGTGGAATGAATTTAAACCTGGTAATCTTGAAGGATTTAATTTAAAATGAATGGGATTCATTTTTCCCTGTTTGGAAAGTGTTTGCTATTTTATAAAATCCAAGTATTTGCAAATGCTTTAAGCCGTTGCCTATCTGCCAGTGTAACATTTCACACCATAATGCAAAAACTAGCCTGAATTCAATTGAAGCCAGATCAGTCTCAAAAATTTACAAAATGAAATTCATACATGCGCAGCACAATTCACATTCACAAAATTGAAAAAAATTAAACACAAAATTAAAAAATTATAAAGTAAAAATCTGAAATATTTTCGCCAAATGAACTGAATTTGTGTATTTATGAATCATGTTTTAAATTTACCAATTGGATTTGTGTATTTACGAATCCTCTTTTGAATTTTTTAATTGGATTTGTGTATTTTTTTAATTGTGTTTTGAATTTACAAATCGTATTTGTGCATTTTCAAATCATGTTTCGAATTTACGAATTGAATTGTGTATTTTCGTATCATGTTTTGAATTTACGATTTGGATTCATGTATTTTCGTATTATGTTTTGAATTTACGCATTGTACTTGTGTATTTTCATATCATATTTTAAATTTACAAATTAGATTTGTGTATTTTCAAATTGTGTTTTGAATTTACGAATTAGATATGTGTATTTTTAAATAATGTTTGAAATTTATGCATTGGATATGCATATTTTCATATCATATTTTAAATTTACAAATTGGATATGTTTATTTTTTTATATCGTGTTTTGAATTTAAGAATTGAAGTTGTGTATTTTCGTATCGAGTTTTGAATTTACAAATTGGACTTGTGTACTTTCATATCGTGTTTTAAATTTACGCAGAGAATATGTGTATTTTGTATCATATTTTGAATTCATAGAGTTTGCTCTGCTAACTCAAAGCATTTTCCAAGATCTCTTTTTTTTTCCTCGCCACGAGGTGCCTCTAATAAGTCATATTTCTATAACATGTTTTCTGCCTTTGATCACCAGGAATCCTCGGAGGAGCCATTTGAAAGCAACAGAAGACAGCTAATGATCCACATATGTCTACGATGGTGAGATGGAAACGTTTGTTTGGTTTACTTAGTCCTCCCGTATGAATAAGTTCACCTGCAGTTACACATGTAGCACAGTACTATTAATACAAACGTTTCTTAATAATGATGATATTAATGAACATTTTTTTGAGTCTGAGATAGCGCTTCTGGTGCCTGCAAGACATTTAGAGGATATAAATAATGCATATGTTTTTATCCATTGCAAGAAGATCCCCCCCACCCTTCGGTGCACAGTTTATAAATACACTAGCAACTACAACTAGCATTCGCCCACATATCTCTGAACACGCATAGTGGAGTGCATTTAATATGACACATTATAGTTTAATCAGTTCACACGCTTGCATCATTGCACAATCTCATTCTCATAAACTTAATGGCGCTTTTCATGTCAAAAAGACGAGGCCAAGAGATTTTTCTTCCTTTCTACCAAAGAAATCACGAAAAAAAAAAAACAAGTTTCGTTATCAAACTTCTCTCCTCGATTGATGATCGTTCTGCTTTTACGATCGTGCACTTTATCATATTAGATTATTGCATCACTTAGTCTCTGCGGGAGAAATATTTTCGGTGAGTATTGATTATGTAACTGCTTCCAAAAACTACTAGGCAGCAACCTAGACGCTCATTGATTCATTCTATAAGCAGAGTCATCATCTAAATGCCTTTAAACCATCTATTTGAAAGAAAAAACTCCTTTGGTTGAGTTTTCTGTGCAGCGACGCTTGGCTTTTCATGCCTCTGTGAGCTTCAAACAGGCTTCTTTCCTTTAATATTTCATAAACTTTTACTCCCTGCAGTGCATTGCAGTCTCTAGCATAGACTTTCATAAGAAACAAAGCAGAAGAAATCCCTTAGATCTAGCACACAAGGCATGTAAACAAACAATCAACTTTCTTACCGTCGAAATTATGCTGACTTGGCATCAAATTAGTCCCTCTGTTTAAGAAAAAAGTAAAGTCTCCCAAAAAGACGGAGTATCCGGCCTGAGTTTAAACATGGAGAAGAGAGAGAGGGATCATCCAGACAGCCACAGAGATGCTGAACAGGAAGATTAGGATGCGAGCGCTCGCACTCACACTCTCCATCCCTCCTCCCGAGCCGTTCATTATAGGAGGAGCTTGCAGAACACGCCCAAACAACTCACAATGGTAGAGTCCAAGCCTACCTCTGCTCCACACTCACTCCCACATGAACCAGAGCTGGCGGGAGGAGCACGTACTCTGCGTGTGTGTGTGTGTGTGTAAGAGAGAGAGAGAGAGAGAGAAAGAGAGAGATACTGTAGAGAAAAAAGGAATGCACATCAGGGAGGAGGACTTGGGCTTGGCAGATGGATAGTTGCTGATGGGGGAGGGAGTCTCTGCTTTATAAATGACGGATGAGTTTGGTTAAATGGACACTGGGGTGAAAATGCAAAACAATAGCTCACCTGGGCACATCCATCCTTCTATCTATCTATCTATCTATCTATCTATCTATCTATCTATCTATCTATCTATCTATCTATCTATCTATCTATCTATCTATCTATCTATCTATCTATCTATCTATCTATCTATCTATCTATCTATCTATCTATCTATCATCTATCTATCTATCTATCTATCTATCTATCTATCTATCTATCTATCTATCTATCTATCTATCTATCTATCTATCTATCATCTATCTATCTATCTATCTATGTCTGTCTGTCTGTCTGTCTGTCTGTCTGTCAATCATCAAGCTATCTATCTATCATCAACTATCTGTCTGTTTTATCATGCTATCTGTTTTCTACCTGTCATCCATCAATCTATCATTTATATATCTATTTAAATGTCTATTTATTTGTCTTGCCATTCATTCATTCATTCATTCATTCATTCATTCATTCATTCATTCATTCATTCATTCTGTGTTTTATTTATGTTTATCATTCCATATGTATTCTGTATCCATCTGTCTATCATTTATATATCTATTTAAATGTTTGTTTATATATATATAGCCTTTCATTCATTCATTCATTCATTCAATTATTCATTCATCTTATGATTTATTTATGTTAGTCTATCCATTTTTCTATAATTTACACATTTATTTAAATGTCTACTAATGTCAAGCCTTTCATTCATTCATTCATTCATTCATTCATTCGTTTGTTCGTTCATTCATTCATTCATTCATTCATTCATTCATTCATTCATTCATTCATTCATTTATTCATTCTTTCCTTGATTGATTCTGTGTTTTATTTATGTTCATTCATCCATCTGTATTCTGTATCCATCTGTCTATCATTTATATATATTTAAATGTCTATATATGTCTAGCCTTTCATTCATTTAATCCTTCATTCATTCATTCATTTATTCATTCATTCATTCATTCATTCATTCATTCATTCATTCGCTCATCTTGTGTACTATTAATGTTCATTCATCCAACAGTATTCTCTATCCATCTATCCAATTGTATCTCTGCAGTAGTTATCATATTTCCATCATCTATCTATTCATAAATACATCCATGCATCAATATTTGTATTTATATCTGTCATCTGCTGTTTTCGTCAACCTATCATTTGTTCATCAACTCATCTCTAAATTGCTCATTCATCTTTCCACTCATCCATTCATCCATCTTTATTCATTCATTAATATTCCAGTTGATTATTTATCATCTATCTAAACATCTACACAATAATTCATTTATCTATCCGTCCATCTGTACTATTTGAATCTATCTATCTATCTATCTATCTATCTATCTATCTATCTATCTATCTATCTATCTATCTATCTATCTATCTATCTATCTATCTATCTATCTATCTATCTATCTATCTATCTATCTATCTATCTATCTATCATCCATCCATCCATCCATCCATCCATCCATCAATCATATTCATCTCATGAAGGGAAGAAGCATCACGATTCTTCTATTGTTTACTGACTGCAGTGCTCTCACCTGGCAAGGAGCATGTGCGTGCCAAAGAGCATCAGGGTTTGCCATATGGAAGTGCTGCACACTCTGTGCTTACGAACAATGACTCGCCTAAAGCCTTCGATAACTCATGTTTACAAAGCAGATGAAATATACATTGTTGTGTATTGCTCAGTCAAGTATCCCATGCACTGAATGTATTTAGTTTCACATTTACCCAGCGCCATTAGTGCTGACAGACATATGAGTTTTGATCCATATTTTGTTGTGGCATGCTTTATTCCACATATTGTAAGTAAATATTCAGAGGAATATTTGGAACTGATTTATTTAAATGAATCATTTGAATACACTGATTCATTTTACCTACATTTTTCACTGATTTTTACATGAAGCATCTCCCCAAAAATAAGCTACTGAAAAAACTGAAGCTACACTTTTCAGAACAGCTCACCTCAATTTGTGGTGTTGTTGTCAAAATCTATTGGCACAAAATGAAAACAGAATAAAGCAATAGATCAAATCTTTCACTTGCATAAGAAACCATGTTCTTGCTGTTATTCTGCACCAGCCTACTGCATAATACATTTCTGAACCGGCTATGATGAATAAAGTCATGCAGCATTTATATGGTGCAGGGGGAAAGACTTTCTGCCTGATCTAATATGGAGCTCCAGCAAGTGCAGTGTGATTCCAATGCTTCCTTCATGTGTTTCTACCTCCATCCCATCATCTAGTCCCCCCCCTCCCCCTGGCTCATCAGGCCTGGTTGGTTTGACCTGCTGCTGGGTTGTCATTATAAAGAGTGGATGTCCCGCACAGGAAAGGGAAAATCTCACTAATCCCACACCACATAATTCTGCCTGCAAGAGGATTAGGGTCAACCAGCAGCCCATGACCAGATTTAAATCATACTCCTCATCTGCCATCATCATCTTCATCATCATCATAATCACAATCTAAAACAAGCGGCCGTTTGAGGGAGCTAGGTATAAACGTGGATCGAAGCCATCTCCAAAATGGGCAGGTCAGCTCCAATTGGGTGGGACTTGAGCTCCAAGTGGGCTGTACCTAACCCTAACCACCTACCCTAATCCTAAACCTACCCCTTACAATAATCTCTTGGTTTATTAGTCTGCCTTCAGCCACTATGCCCCTCGCTGCTGGAATCAGCTTCCAGAAATGATCAGATGTGCTTTAGGCACATTCAAATCAAGACTGAAAACACATCTGTTTAGCTGTGCCTTTACTGAATGAGCACTGTGCTGCGTCCGACAGATCGCACTATTATGTTTTTCGTTTTCTTTTTCATTCTTTTATAACCTATTTTAACTCATTTTAATTTGTTTTTATCTGTTTTTAATAATTTTTATTGTCTGCATTTTATTTTCCTAAACTTGTCTTTTTTATTCCTGTTTATGTAAAGCACTTTGAATTGCCACTGTGTATGAAATGTGCTATAGAAATAAACTTGCCTTGCCTTGCCTTGCCTTGCCTTACACATACCCTGTCCCTAAACCTACCCCTTAGAGTAACTTATTGTTTATCAATGTCTACACCTACATGGTGGATACCTTGCATGTAGCCATGCATTTATAATTTGCATTTTGTTTGTGTTACTATGACAGTAATACTTCCAAAACACATTTGGCTGTGGGGCTTCTATGTTTTTATGTTCCTCTGTGTTGAGTTTCTTTACAGGTTTTTTTTAGTCTACACTGTAAATGCATGAAATGCTAACTAACTGTAGAAGTAGCTCAAACTCACTCATTTAAGAAAGAAAGAGACAGGAATTGACTGTGTGAAGACCTGCTGCAAAGATGCAGAAATATAAATCACCCCAACCCTAAACCAAAAGCCCTATGGTTATAAAAACAATCATTTTTAATGTACAGTATCACAAATATTAGGCTATATAGATGTGCACATGCTAGGTAGCCACAACTGTAACCTCTTCTTGCCTTAAACTAATCTAACTATGAAGTAAGTCCCTCTCACTTGAAGGTCTCTCACCATACTTGTAGCGCAAGTCCCACCTCTTGGAGGTCTCACAACCTCTTCCACTTGGGGTCCATCTACTTGGAGGTTTCTCAACCCTCCCACTTGGAGTTCCCCACACCTAAGTCCGGCATAAGTACTTCCCATTTGGAGGTGCCCCAACTTACTTGCAGCACAAGTCCCTTCCTCTTGGAGGTTTCCCAACTCTCTCACTTGGTATCCCCCGACCTATTTGCGGCCAAGTCCTCCCTCTTGTACATCTTCCAATCCTCCCACTTGGGGTCCATCTACTTAGAGGTCTCCCAATCCTCTCACTTGGTGTCCATCTACTAGGGGGTCTCTCAACCTTTTCACTTGGAGGTTCCCCAACCTACTTGAAGCACAAGTCCCTGCCTCTTGGAGGTCTCCCAACCCTCTCACTTGGGGTCCATCTACTTGGAGGTCTCAATCCTCCTACTTAGAATCTATCTACTTGGAGGTCTCCCAATACTCCCACTTGGGGTCTATTTACTTGAAGGTCTCTAAGCTGTTCAGTAAGAAGCGTTCTCGCTCAGCACAGTGAAGATTGCTTTAGTTATACCGTTTAGTCGTTTGGGATACAGTGACAGGCAGTCAAATAATTCGCAGAACAGATCCACCACTTTTGACGCTCATAAACAATTATTGCACTGCAGGAATTAGGAGGTTTGCTGAAGGTGCAGCTGTCATGCAGTGAGGGGTTTGTGTCTTTCATAAACTATGACAGTTTGCGTTCACTGAACAGTAAGAATGATTAATAAATACATATAAAACAGTCCCGTAAAAGTTATATCTTGTCTTTAGTTTTTGTCTCAGGTGCACTTTGCACTCACACTACAAGCATACCTGAGCCCAAGTGAACCGCGCTCTGGCACACCTCTTCCAACCAGGCAAGGGCCGGCTAACTGAACCTGAGCCCTATTCAGAGCACTCACACTTCTCAAACAATTGGGGAAATAGGCCTGGGCACGGTTCGGATAGCATAGTATGAGTATGCCCTTAGGGTCCCCCAACCTACTTGCGGTGTAAGTCACACACTATTGAGGGTCTAACAGCCCTCTTACTTGGAGGTCTCCCATCCTATTTGTGGCTTAAGTCACTCCCACTTGGAGGTCTCTAAGTTCCACTGGAATTTATTAGGTTTGAGGTGGGGTGCTT